ATCTGTTGAAAATACATTTTTGCAGCTATCTTATCTTTGCTTTGGCTTTTAGTGTTTTTCATTGTACGGAAGTTCTTAATTTTAATACAGCCAAACATTTCAATCTTTTCCTTTACATATTTTTTCCAGCTTTACTGAGGTAAAATTGTATACATTTAAGATGTATAATGTGATGTTTTGATATGTGTATACATTGTAAAATGATTGCCACAATCAAAATAATTAACATATCCATCACCTAACATAGTTAGTATTTGTTTTCGTGTGTGTGTGGTGAGAACACCAAAGATCTACTCTCCTAGCAAGTTCCAATTATACAATATAGTATTCTTAACTATGGTTACCATGCTGTATATTAGATCTCCAGAACTTATTCATTCTGCATAACTGAAACTTCATACCGTTTGACCAATCTCCCCGTTTTCCTGACTCCCCAGCTTCTGGCAACCATCGTTCTATTCTGTGCTTCTATGACTGAAACTGTCTTAGATTTCACATATAAGTGAATCATGCTGTACTTGTCCTTCTGTGTCTGGCTTATTTCACATAGCCTGTCTTCCAGGTTCATCCTCGTTGTCACAAATGGCAGAATTTCCTTCTTTTTTAAGGCTGAAGAATATTCTATTGTATGTGTGTATATATATATAGCCGCACTGATATTTGTTACTGTCTTTTTGAGAATTCTAACATTCTAACAGGTGTGAGGTGGTATCTCATTGTGGTTTGCATTTTTCTGATAATTGGTGATGCTGAGCATCTTTTCATATACCTACTGGCTGTTGGCATGTCTTCTTTTGAGAAATGTGTATTCAAGTCCTTTGCTAATTTTTTAATTGGGTTATTTGTTTTTTTGCTATTGAGTTGAGTTCCTTATATATTTTGGATATTAATCCCTTATCAGATATATGGTTTCCAAGTATTTTTTCCTTTTCTGTTGGTTGTCTTTTCACTCTATTGATTATTTCCTTTGCCATGCAGAAGCTTTTTAGTTTGATACAATCCAACTTTATTTTCCTTTTGTTGCCTGTGCTTTTGGGGTCATATCCAAAAAATCATTGCCCAGACTCCAGTATCAAGAAGCTTTCCCCTGTTTTCTTCTAGTAGTTGTACAGTTTCAGGTCTTACATTCAGGTCCTTAATCCATTTTGAGTTGATTTTTGTATAAGGTGTTAGATAAGGGTCCAATTTCATTCTTCTGCATGTGAATATCCAGTTGATCCATCATTTATTGAAGACTGTCCTTTCTCCATTGTGTTCTTGGTACCCTTGTTGAAGATTACTTTATATGTTGTGTGTCTGGAATTCATTTGAGAAATTTTTCTCTCTTTCAAGTTCATAAGCTGTTCACCTATATTTTCTTTTAAAGGATTTTAAATATTTCTTTTTACGTTTAGTTAGTTGCTGAATATATTCAGAATTCATTTTGTTCATGGTGTGAGGTAGGGATAGTATTTTCTGTCTATGTGCATAACCATTTGTACCCGCACTATTTATTGAACTTTCTTCTTACTAATCATCAATGCCCCCTCAATCATATATCCAGTTCCTCTGTATTCGTGGATCTGCTTCTGTGCTCTTTTTTATTTCACTGATGTATTTATCTATCACTGTCCTAGTACCACTGCCTTCGTTATTACACTTTTATAACAATTCTTGATATCTGGTTGGCCACATCCCTTCCAAAAGTTGTCTTTATCATTGTTTTCCATGTTCTTGGCCCTTTGCTCTTATATGTAAATTTTAGAATCAGCATGTCAAGTTTGATCAAAACCAAAACCCTATTGGGATTTTTCTTTGAGTTGCATTGAATTTATATAAATTTGGAAAGAGGTGACTTCAAAAATATTAAGGTTTCCCATCCTTGAAGATAACACATCTCTGCATTTATTCATCTTATTTAATACCATTCCATAAAACTTTAGAATTTTCTCCAGAAATATCCTTCGTACATTTGTTAGTTTTATTCCTAGGTACATTGCTATTGTAAATATATTTTCTGAAAGATTTTATTTTGTAATTGGTTTTAGTTGCTTTATAGGAATGTTATTGCTTTTGTTTGTGGGTGTGTGTCTTAACCCTCTATTCAGCAACCTTTTTGAACCTATTTTTCCTCATTTTACAAAATATGATGAAAATTTTTTTTTCATTTTTTTTTAACTCCCCTCATCTTTTCCAGCCTTCTTCCCTCACAAGAGTGTGATTTCCTTAAAAGCAAAGATCCTGTTTTTCTTGTTCACGTCCATATCCCAGGTGCCTAGAACAGTACCTGGCACACAGCAGGCACTCAGGAGATATTTATGTTTGTTAGAAGAATCAATCAATGCAGTGTCCAGTTCTGGGCAGAGGAAGTAGCATGTACTGAGTGTATCAAGGTGGTTTCACGTGTGCTGCTCTCCCTGCCTGGAACTCGCATCTCCTTTCCACCTGGCAGCCTTGCCCCCCTCCCCCAACTTTACTCCAGATTCTTCCCTGCTGATGGGCCTTCGTCCCCACCTCTGCCCCAAACCAGGCAGGTGGATCTATCCTTCAAAGACTTGGTCTAATCTAGTTCTTCCAGGAAGCTTTCCTGGGTTTCCCTGTACTTCAGAAAGATGGATCCAGAAAACAAAACAAAAAAAAAGCAAGCAAGAATTAAAAGTAAACTATATGTTCAAATAGAGCATAAAACTTAAAAGAAATAGTAGTGTTATGGAAAGATACACAGAGTAAATAACATTATGGTGGGCACAAAATGCTACTGCATTTGGGGAAAAGGAGTTGATTTATGAATAATAGATAGTAAAGATCCACCAATATCATAATGTCAACAATTAGAAGGAAGAGAAATACTGGATTAAGACACCCCCACAGTCAGTGAGTCACAAAAAACAGAGACACAAAGTGTTATGCATTGATATTGTTCATTCCTGAGCAGTTTTCTGACTACCATATTCTAGAGTGAAAATAACATATATTTGAACGTTTTCTTCCGTACTTTTAAAAAATCACTTCAATTTTCCTCTTCTGATAAATGTTTTACGAATTCCCTTTCCTGATGAAAGATTTTGCTGTGATTAAAGCTTTCATGAAGTTATGACAGAGGTGGAATAGATCTTCATTCTTGAAAGCTCATTTCTCTGTGAGCTGAGGAAGAGGCCTCTTGTAGGCAGCTGTCAGAGCTAATGAATGTTTTCCAAGTGCTGAACCTCTGGGGAAGACAGCCCCAGCCAGAGGACCCAGAGCCGGCCAGTGTGAACCTGCTCTCTGCAGACCTGTGTTCTGCAACATCTAATGGCGTCTACAACAGAAACGGTGAAGCTGCTGCGTTACCTTCCTCCTTTGAGAGTAGCTTACACATACACATTTTGAAAAATTGGTATTTCACAGATTCCCTGTGGCCTTTGGATGGTGTTGTGTTTTTGCGTGTGTGTGTGAACCCCTGGCTAAGTTACTGTACCCCTCTCCACCTCAGTTCCCGTCTCTGGAAAGAACAAAGGACAAGGTTTGGATTTGGAATAAGTGCTGTCGTCTACTGTGAAAATGACAGGATTTTGAGTTCTAAGCCTTGAGTCTGTCGTCTCACCAGCATTCTTCGTCGTCTCCTGAGCCTCTCTTTCTTCGCCTGTGCTCGGGTCTAGGGAGGATCAGCTCCTAGGGCTGTTGTGATGAAATGACAAGGTGCAGGCAGCCCAGCCACACGAATGTGAGTCCCTGCTCCCCTTTCCTTAACAACCAGCAAGGCTCTGCATCACCACACTTTGAGAATAGACGTGAGAATTCAGATGCCCTTCAGCGGGTCCTATTTTGAAGTCACACTAAGCTGAAAATGACTGAGAGCACAAAGCACAAATCCTTTTCCAAGTCTTTTTTTTTTTTTCTGTGAAAAACTACTCACCTTGCTCCTTGAGGAAGAATGGCTTCTGCCTCTGTTGCTGCCTTCTGTGTCTGCTCCTGTTGTGGTTACAACTGTCCCGTTTAGATCAGCAAACACTGATTGACTACCTGGCATGTGCCAGCTGTGATACTTGGTATTTGGGATCCTGTGTTAGATTAGGAAAGCCTTCCACTGTAATGGAAACCTAGCAAATGATTGCTAACACAAATGAAGCATGTGCTCTGGTTTTTTGTTTTGTGCATGTAGCCAATGAGTTTAGAGGATGGGAGGCAGTATGGGGCTGCTTCATTTGCTGAAGGTGTTGTCATTTCCCAGACCCCTCCTGGCCCCCACTCTGCCAGCGTCAGCCTGTAGCGTTTGTCTTCATTGCCTCCAAAGGGTTGCTGAGCTACTTGGCTTCGGACTCATCTCCAGGGAGGAAGGAAAGGGAACAAGGGAGGCTGAAGGGTGAATGCCTTCTCCTCTCAAGGTCTTGTCTTCTTATTTGGGATGGAAGGTCTCCAGAAGGCTATTCTTATTGGCTCAGACTTTGTCCTATGGGCCTCCTTTTGGAGCAGACATGATGGGAACTTGAATACTTTTCTTTTTACCGTCTGTAGTGGAGAAAACAAAGGAGTGGAGATTTCACATGGGTGGTGAGTGAGTAGACCTACAATATTTTCCGGAGGAGTAAGATGTAGTCTCTGTAAGAACTCACGGTAGCTGTGAGCACAGACAGCTGTCATACGGCTCTCCATGGAGCGGTGCCTGGCACCTCGCCTGGTGCCTGTTCCCACTGGTTGTCTGACTTATGGCTCAGGTATTCTAGTCCTCACGTACATGAGGCTTGGAGAACTCGAATTACCTTCCCAAGGTCACTTGGTTTGTGAAGGGCACATCTGTGTTGTAAGCATGTGTCCCTAGTACTAAGGAGTACCTCATGTCCAAACTTAGTTTTTAGAGTTCATGGTTTTGTTCGGAATGAGTCTCATTAATACTTTATGTTTAGGGGCACTTGACATTTTGATAAATTGCACTTCTGACATTCTCAAGTAGTGGAAAATCTTCGGGGAGGGAAAAAAGGCAAAGTCACTCTCCTCTTTGGCTGTCAGACGATTCTCAACTTTCCTTTGTCTTTTCAACGCAGTACCCGGCAGTGCCACCTGCTCCTGGATGTCTTCAACTCCACGGAGCACGAGCTGACAGTCAGCGCCCGGAGCAATGAAGAGCTCGTCCTGCATGCCGGCGAGTGCCAGCGGTGAGTGTCCCCACGCCCCACCTGCTTCCTCTCTCTGCTTTCATCCCCCTGCTGGGGAGATGCTGAAATAATCCACCCTCAGACCCCAGAGGATGGGCAGCCTCGTCTCCCTTGCAGAGGCATCATAGTCGCGTTCAAGTTTGGTGAAAGAATCTGAAGTGGTTTCAAGTTAGAGCCAAGTGTAAAGAGTCAGGGTAAAACTGGATGACGTCCGTCTGAGGAAGCAGTGGCATGTGCTTTCAGGCACCACATCTGAGGACTGAAACATCTGGGCAAGACCTAACAAGATCTTTTAAATTCTTAAGAAAGCTGGATCTGGGTATACTGGGTATTGATTTGGGGGCTGTATATCAATATCAATAGGAAGTTCCTTGGAGAAATTAGTGCCACAAAAAGCCAGGCCAAGCTTAGATCTTTGCGAAAGGTACAGCATCACCCAAGCCCAGTCCCTGGAGGGCAAAGATTTGTGCCACCACCGAGCCCTGGGACAGGGTCAGCCGCAGGACATGCCCTGGCCCAGCAGGAGCTGAGTGGGACTGAGAGCTGACCAGGAGCAAAGCCAGGACCTCTAGGGCATGTCCCAAGGCAGGTGGAGCTCGGTGACTTTGGGAAGACACTCTTCTGCTGTGGCAGGGCCCCTTCCCCAGGCCCTGGCTCACTCCCTACTGGGTCTCTGCCTAGACCAGAAGCTGTGCCTTCAAGCCGAACTTGGATGTCAGGGGCATACCCTTATAGATGGAATAAGATACAGATGGAATACAATTTTTATTTTTAATTGCAAAATACTTCAAACGTGTAGAAAATAATTTAGAAACCAGCATACCCATGTTGCAGATTTAAGCATTTTGCTATATTTGCTCCAGATCTCTCCCTGTCTCTCTCTGTCTTTCTGTGTTTCTTTCTCTCTTTCTCTTTTATTTTGAGGAAGTAAAATGTTAAAAAAAATATAGCTGACATTAACATCATTAGTCAGTGGGGGAGACGCAAATTCAAACCACAATGAGATACTACTACACATCCATTAGAATGGTTAAAATAAAAGACTGACACCAACCAAATGTTGGTGAGCATGTGAAGCGTCTGGAGCTCGCATGCTTTGGTGGCATATACAGTAGTGCAACCACTTTTGAAGAAGGTCTGGAAGTTTCTTATAAAACCAAACATACACCTACTCTTTGCCCAGCAATTCCAACTCTGGCTATTTATTAAAAAAAAAAAATTTAAATGTATGTTCACAAAAAGACTATACAAGAATGTTCCTGGCCAAAAACCAGAAAGAGCCCAGGTGTCCATTACCGGAGAATGGATCAACAAATGGTAGCATTTTCCTATAAATGGAATAGTGCTCAGTAACAAAAACTTTCAAGTTCTTAATACACACACCAACATGGGCGAATCTCAGGAACTTTATGCTGAGTGAGGGAGCCTTACCCAGAGGAGCATGCTCTGTGTGATTCCATTTGTCTGAAATTCCAGAACAGGCAAAACTAGTCCATGATGGAAAAAGCAGAACATTGATTGCCTCTGGAGAGGTTGGGGTGGGCTTTGACCGGGAAAGGGCTTAGGGGATTTTCTAGGTGATGGCCATGTTGTATAACTTGATATTTGGGCATGGGTTACACAGGTATTAGCATTTGTTAAAATTCAGTGAATATGCGCTTAAGATTTGTGTCTTTCACTGTAAATCAATTTTATGTCAAAAGAAAAACTGTAAGCACATATTGAATTCTCAGTACTGATGCTATGCTGAAGGATTTCGGGGAGTGCATGGTGTCTGCAGTAGTCTTTAGGAGGCCTGAAAAATAAGACGAATGGATGGATGGGTAGAGGGATGGAAAGATGGACAGACTACATGATAAAGCAAATAGAGTAAAGTGTTAATGGTGGAACCTGCCAATGGCCCTGTAGGGTGGAAAATTCTTCCAACTTTATATTTGAAAATTTTCATAAGAAAATGTTGGAAAAAGTATGCAAATGAGAACAGAGCTAAGCCCTACTGCCTTGGCCAACTCCCACCCAACTTCCTTTCTCTTCCCTTCATCCTCAGGGGAAATCTGTGTCTTGGAGGCAATGGCAGTACTCACACCATGTTTTACTACTTTTTATTGTATTTTACTCATAGCCACAACCAGTCATTATTTTGAGAGTTGTTTTTTTAACAACATAAGTGTTTCCATATCATGTATTTCTTTTTATTAACTTTAAATCCACATTATGCTTTGGAGCTAAATATAAATCTTGTTCTTTCATTTTGACTGCTATTTATATTTCGCTGCATGATTACACCACTTTATCTATTTCCATGGTAATCCACTGTGAGGTTGCTTCCAGGGTATTGCTGTTTAATGTGATTGTTGTTAATGACATACATGAACGCAAAGTCAGGCCTTACAGCCCCTGTTGCAAGACTGTTTGGGGCTGATAGGTGGAAGCTAGAAGTCGGTGGCTTGGGGACATTTGCGCCTTCCTCTGAGAGGAAGGAAACATTGCGTCTTGAGAGCACAGAGGTCTGGTGCCTGCAGAGGTCTTGCCGGGTGGGAGTGGGTATGGGCAGGGGGCTCATGTGCTCCTCCTGCATCAGGACAGGCTCTTTCCTAGGGCGCTGATGCATCCTTGGGGTCTAAGCCAGCAGCTTAACTGCAGCTGCCTGGGCCCAGTGCTGTTCTCCAAATTGTGAAGGAAACTATCTGCCCTCTTTCTTGTCTTTCTCGTTAGATGTTTTGATGTAGCCCGAGATCCCAAAGGACGTCAATCTAGTCTTCTGGTGACACCAATATAAAACCTGTTTTTAAAAAATTATAAATTGCCAAGCTTTGTTCTAAGCTTGGATCATTCTTGGCAATGGAAGGGTGAATGATGTTAACGCTTCCATTCGTAAATAATCACGATTTAGTTGTGTGCTTCAGGCTTCTTCCTTATTAAGCTTTTTGTTTAAATTCTCATTTCTCAGTGCTCCCAACTCACACGTTTTTTATTCACTCATAAAATATTCATTCAATAAATATTGATATTTCAAGAACTTGCTGTGTGGTACCTTCATCAGGTTCCGGGAGTGCCAAGATGAATAAATAAGGACGCTCTTAGCCAGAGAGTGACAACACAGCGTGAGGAGTGTCTCACACAGCCAGGGCGGCCCTGCTTTTCCTGCCCGATGGGGGCATTTTGCTGTCATGGTTGGGGGGGATAAACCAGAGGTCATGGTGTCACATTTGTCTGGGAAGTCATCTTGTCCCCGCTAACCTAGTGGTGACTGCCGGGAACCCTGGTGTTTGTGGGGAGGCAGGGAATCACTTCCCTCTCCAAGCCTCTCTGGCCTTGCTGGCCTCCCCTGGATCCATACCGCTCCACCTCCATGGACGAGATCACAGTTCTTTGGTTCTCACGGAGCAGGTGTGGTAGAGGAAGCGTGGGTTCCTTGCAGACCTTGGCCACGAACGTGTCCCCATACATCCAGGCCCTGTCTCCTGAGTGCCCAGTCTCTTCCCAGAGTCCTGAGCTTGACCACCTTCCCGGCTCTCCCCTTCCACCACAAGGAGCCATCCCCACCGCACCTCAGGCTTTGCTAGGTGCTAAAGAAGGCTTCTCTGTGCCCAGGTGCGGCCTCTCTGAGGAGGGTTCTTACTGCTACCTTGGAAGTGGGCAGAGGAATAATGCTTTCTGCTGGAGATGGCACAGCCTAGTCTTAAATGAAAAGCTGTATTCCTGGAATCCACGTGGCTTTGACCCTGCTCTTCACAGAACCTAGAGGGTCAAGAGGTATTTGACTTCCTTCTAAGGGTGGCCTGCAGTTCAAGAGAGGGCCCAACTCCAATTGGATTGTTGCGCTGCTGCCTCTCCCCCTTACTCCTGGTAGAAAAGGGTGATCTCATTTTACCCAATACAAGAGAAATGTATCCTCAGGAACACAGAGGTGCAGCGCGCTTCCCAGTGCAAGAAAGGATGGAGGTCATAGTCGCTGAGCCCCGTGCGTTTGGAAGAGTTTGGGCACTGCAATTCTCATATCCCCTCACGGAGGAGCTTTGTCTTCATTTTATTGATAAGTAAACGAAGTTGATCAAAGTCCGTGGGACCCACATCTGTCTGATGGCATGGCTGTGCTTGGAATGGTGATTTAAGAAGGGTTGGAGCAGGACTCGGGGTAAAACCAAGGTCTGTTCCCTTCTCCTCTTCTGCTCTGCGCAGCCTTAGGCAGGTTGTGGCCAGCACTGTGAAGTCCATCGTCAAGTGTAAAGGCCAGCAGGGGAAAGGGTGAGGTGGAGAAGCAAACTGGGTCTTTGTCTTCCAAGTTGCTCACTAATTCATTCAACAAATATACCTGAGTGTCGGGCAGGTGCCAGGACCTACCAGGAGCTGAGAAGCTGATACTGGGTCCTCACAGCGCTGAGGTTTTGGTGTGGAAGGAAGGTGCACAAACAGGTGATTGTCACACACTATGAGGGGAATTGAAAGCATGCAGGAAGAAACACAACCGGACAGGACGAGGGTGTGCTGGGAAGGCTTCCTGGAAGAAGCGTTGTTAATAAGGACAGACAGGTAGGAGTCAGCCAGGGCTGGAGAGCAAGGGCAGAGCAGCCCAGGTGAAGGAAAGCCTGCCCCAGGAAGGGCATGTTCAAAGGGCGACATGGAGGTGTTCTTCGCAGACTAAATGTCCAAGTTCTTAAACCGAAAATTCCGCTCCGTCACCTGTTTCTTAGAGATATCTTTTTAATCTTATAATTTAAAAACAACATTTCAGCAAATGGATGTAGAAGGTACCTCTCCACCTTCCTAATTTCTTCTTTAAAGGTCCTTTGGAAATTGGTGACTCCCTTCTTGGCTTGTGAGCTTCTGTGGCACGGTTGATGCATCAATTCTGTAATTAGGGGCTGTTAGTTAACATCGCTTTGGCCAAACACGATTTGTGATGCTTGGTCTGTAGTGATTACATTTTCTGGGGCTCTAAACCATCAGTCGTGACCTTCAAGATGTTGTTGCCCAGTCTTGCTGTTACTAGGCCTGTA